AAACAGCCAGCACACAACAACAAATCCAAGCCAGCTTGTATGGTCAAGTCAGACAACAAAACCCAGGAAGTAATAATATCATGCAAATGTAATGGCATGCAAGGTCAGTTAGGCTTGTGTTACCTACACCCACCCCTCCCTCCCCCAGCAGCAGGACTCTCACTACTCTAACACACCAGCTTTTCAGGGAACATGGGTTGGACACAACTCGAGGTTTTAGCCCCCTAGGGCCTGGGCTGTGACCCTTTACAGCAGTAATTCTGTAAATGAGCTTAGTTTCTGTGGACCCAGGGAGCCCTCTGAGAGCTGGGCAGGCCCTGAGGACCTCATCCAGTCAATGATGTTCACCCGAGCTGATGCCCAGCCCTGCCTCTCAGTTTAAATTTGGGGCCAAAAATTATTTACTGCTGCTGGTTTTGTCCAGAAAAATAGATGGTATCATTACCTCACACCTCCACTCACTCCTGAATGTCCAGTTGCATTACAGTCCTGTACCCAACCCTTCTTCCTCCTTGTTCCCACTCTGTTATTAGATGAGTTAATAGTTATTCATGTTAAAAAAAATAAAAAATAAAAATAAAAAGAAAGAAAACAGGTGGCAGAGACACATTACTGCAAAAGCAGGTGAATGCAGGAACATCCTTGGCTTGACAGGCTTTATGTGAAGCTTGCACTGCAAGTTAAAAAAAAGAACAAAAAACAAAAGAAGTTAGCAATAATAGAACCCAAAACGAAGGAAAAAAAAAAACAACAAAAAAAAATCCAAAAACAAAATCAAAGAAAGCTGGGAGAGCTGACACCAGCAACCTGCTCTGATGGGTGTGCATGCAGATGGATTATGGGATGAAAAAGAAATTAAATCTCCAGGGCAGGCTCTACCCTAGCCTGTGAGCAGCAAAAGCAAAAAGAAAACCTGTGGGGGCAGAACTACTGCCCAAGCAAGCAGGTCTGCTGGCTGAGGTCACAGTCTGCACGTGGCTGGTGCCTTTAATCTCCAGTTCCTCAGGCTGTGCAGGGCTGGGGGGCACAGCTGCAGGTGAGCAGCCTGGGGCACCTGACACAGGTGCTCTCACAGAAGGCTGTGTGCTCAGCCTTGACCCAAACTCAGGTATCTCAGACCCCGGGCACCATGAGGTTTCCCCAGCAAACATCAGCTTTCAGAGCCCAGTTTCAGACCCCCTTCAGACATCACCAAACCTGGTTCTGAGGGGGCTCCACACGTGCCTCCCCACTGGTGCCGCGGCCGCGCGTGGGAGCTCGGGGACAGGGCACGGCCACAAGGGCCAGACCAGGCACACTGGGCTGGCAACTATTACACAGGAAGGAAACTGGAAAAAAAGGCTTTCCTCTGGTCTTCCTAAGTAGCTTGAAATAAACAGAGAGCCCAAACAGATGGTCCCAGCTCCTGTGGAGAAGGGGTTTGAGGATGAGCAAGTGACATGATGGCATGTGCTGAGGCACGTGGCCATGTCCCCAACAACAGGCAAGCACCAGAAGGCTATTTTGCTGCTCTTACTTGGTTTTGCCAAGTCCATTGCCAGGAACCATCTCCAGATCGTTCAGGTTTGAAGCACAGCCCCATCCCAAAGTGATGGCAGGGGCTGGATAAGCAAGCTCAGCACTTCAGAAAAGTACTCGAGCATGTGTCTGTCCTACAGCCCCACAAGTGTCTGAGGGACACAGATGTGCTGTCCTGGAACCAGCACACTGCTGCCATCAGAGCTTCAGCAGTTTTAGATGAAAAAAAAAGCATAAGCTACAGGAAGCTGAGAAACGGGTGATGAAAAAAGAAGGTATAAAAAGCCAAGTTGTTCCTACAAGGAATAGCCTGGAAATCAAGTGGGCCAAGTTCCCCCTCACGGAGTGAGGCCAGCAACAGATTTCACATGGAGCTTTGCCTCTGGCTTGCACAGCACAATGGAAGGTCTCTTGACCAAGTTGGAGAAATCTGATCCCACCTGGAGAAAGCATTCCCATCAAGTACTTTCTGGGGAGGTTGCAAGGATCATGCATGGCAAGGATTTCCTCTGACAGAAGAGCCACCACAGTCCAGCACAGAGCAAGGTTGAGAGCCTTACCTATGCCAACTGCAGCTTCTCATGAGAGTGCAAGGAGAAACTGAAAGCCTTTAGAAAAAAACAAGGTGTGCTACAGAGCAGAAGCACCACCTTTCAAGCCTCTGTTAGTAACTCAGACACTAAGGACCAATGGAAGCAGTTACAGCACCTGGTGTGGAGCAACACTGAAAGGACACACTAAGACACGTTCCTCGTGGCTGAATTTCTGTGAATGCAGCAGCAAAGCAGAAACTGTGTTTGCCATGGTCACTGGAAACACCCATGGATCACACCCACAGCACTGTGCATGTGCCAGCCAACTTCACAGAAGCAAGCAGTAGCTATCACTGACTACCCAAGCTCCCAAACTCCCCAGATCATTATATACTGCACTGGTCTCATATCCAGGAGGTGAAAAAACTGCAGAGTTCTTAAAAATATTAAGCTACTAACTATGTTAGAGACAAGGAAGAGAGTTTTCAAAGTTCTTTGTAGGCAACAGGTCACCCTGTCACCATGAGAGAAGACCAGTGTCCCAGCCTGTCCCATTTCCAGGTCTCATCCAGAGGGGACCCCAGCATGCATGGACATTTGCTGCTGACATGAGCTGTTTCTACAGCCCAGCAGGACCCTGACCACTGTGTCCTGACTCCTTCACCCCAGCAGAGCATGCAGCACACAAGCACCCTGTGCAGTTAGCACAAAGCAGCAGGGCTCCATAGGAGCTACATCCATGTACATCAGAGGAGGAACCAGCCCCAGGCCCTCCCCACCTTCCCTAGGGAAGCCAGGGCAGAAGCAACAAGCAACAGGTACCAAACCAGCAGCAGAGACAGGAGACGTGCAGTGAGCAGCAGCAAAACTTCCCAAAGTATAAAAATATACTAGTATATCTGCAATACAACTGAGCCCCACAGGGTCAAGCTGTGAGACAGCCCAGACCTGGCTTATGTTCACAGATGAGCAAGGAGATGAGAGTGTCTGTACCACAGCCCTGTGAGCAGTTTGGTTCTTCCAACAGAGACAGCTTAGGAGGCTACTCCAAGAGTAACTGCCAGAGTCTGTGAAGGAGCTCACCCCTCTGCTACTGACTCTTAGGAGAAGTGTGGAACTGTCCCTTTTGTGTGGAGCTTAACGAAGCATTTCCCAGGGAGATTTGCTCCATCACCACCTCTACAGCCTTCCCATGGCAAGTATCAACTAGTGCTTTTACCCCAGCTGACCCTGAAAGGACTTGCATGGACTATTTCCTTACTGGATAGAGAAAAAGTGGGTGGAAATTACAAAAGGAGGCCTGAAAGCAGCCCCTGCCACAGGACCCAGTCTTGCTGCACTAGACAAACACCATGCACAGCCTCCTCCACCTCACTGACCAGATCACATCTAGGTAGACCATGTGTCCTGGCTTTTAAAGCACGGTGAAGTAGTCAGGATCAGGTAAGAAGCAGGGCTCTCCTGCACTAACAGTAAGCTGAACACAGCCACCCCCAAGCCCAGGCTGCCAGGAGGAGGCCAATCTAGAGCTCAAGGCTCTCAGCAGAGCTCTGCTGGGACTCAACTCTGAGCCCAAGCCAATGGCAACATTCCTCCAGTTTCAACCAAAATGGAGAGCATCTCAAAGTCCTGCCTCCAAATACTGACCATGGAACAGACTCTGTCCACAGATGCACTTGGTGCCTACTACTGTGCTGCCATCTCAGAGTAATGGAGGGGAAAGGATTGCTCTTCTAGCATACCAATATAAAATAGAGAGTAGAGCCATTATCTTACTAAAAGGTTATGGCTTTCTTAGCTTATTACATCAACTCGATACAAATGCCCTTTACCTACAATTATGGTACCATAGTAGTTTGGTTTTTCATAAAAAATAAAGCAAACCCCAAAGTTACTGCCTTTAAAGCAGGCTTCCAGGTGTCCACTTTTGGCACCAGCCATTTCCCATGTAAAAATAACATGGTGGTTTTGGTTTCTAATCTACTTCTATTTACAACTATAACCTAAGGAATGGGAACTGGACACTACTTGTGGGTGAAAAAAAGGGCAGGTAGACACCCCCTTAATAATGTTGGCTCAGGTAGATACATCTGAGTCCAGAACAACCCAGAGCTGTTCCAGAAGATGCTGGGACAGATCACAGGCCAAACCTCCACAATCCTATTGCTCTCCCATACCAGTCAGAATTGGACATAGAACTGGGAGGTACTCTTCTAGAGAAAAATTAAGATCATGTCCCTGGCCCACCCTTTAGAAAAAAAATATTTTATTTGATCAGGCTGATAAAAGCCCAGTTTCCAGTCTGGTAGTGGGGAAAAGCAAATACAGACATGCAGGAAGAAAGAAAAAACAACCTCCCAAAGTGTAACAAACCCCACAGAGGATGTGGGTGACAGCAGCTTACTTTTTCTTGTCCTTGTCTTTCTTGGTTTGTTGAGAACCTGCCTGCTGAGCCTGTGACTGTAATAGCTGAGCTGCTGCCTTCTTCTTTTGAAAGTTGTTGAGCTCTTCCTCAAGTTCCTTCTTTTTGTCTTCCACTTTTTTCTTCTCTTCTTGGTGAGTCCTCTTTAGATGGTCAAACTTTTCATGAAGCTGCCAGGACAGAGACAATGAGAACTGGATGGGAAGAGAACATTTCCCCCCACCATGCCTGAAGCAGTTCCACTGGCTCTGAGGCCCTGGCCTGCCCCAAGCATGCCTCCCTTTGTGAGGAAAGCCCTGCAGCTAGCACACTGTAGGTCTCTGAACACTTCTAAACACTCCCCCATGTTCCATCCTTACGGCTTTGTGGACTCTCTCATGCTCATACCAACAAGAAAAAGTGGCCGTGGCCACCCAGGGTCTCTTCTCTGTGCCTCTCTAGGAGCACATGCTCCTCCACGAGACCCAAGAAACAGTTCCCTCATCTAAAGTGTAACAAACCCCACAGAGGATGTGGGTGACAGCAGCTTACTTTTTCTTGTCCTTGTCTTTCTTGGTTTGTTGAGAACCTGCCTGCTGAGCCTGTGACTGTAATAGCTGAGCTGCTGCCTTCTTCTTTTGAAAGTTGTTGAGCTCTTCCTCAAGTTCCTTCTTTTTGTCTTCCACTTTTTTCTTCTCTTCTTGGTGAGTCCTCTTTAGATGGTCAAACTTTTCATGAAGCTGCCAGGACAGAGACAATGAGAACTGGATGGGAAGAGAACATTTCCCCCCACCATGCCTGAAGCAGTTCCACTGGCTCTGAGGCCCTGGCCTGCCCCAAGCATGCCTCCCTTTGTGAGGAAAGCCCTGCAGCTAGCACACTGTAGGTCTCTGAACACTTCTAAACTCCCCCATGTTCCATCCTTATCCATCCTTACGGCTTTGTGGACTCTCTCATGCTCATACCAACAAGAAAAAGTGGCCGTGGCCACCCAGGGTCTCTTCTCTGTGCCTCTCTAGGAGCACATGCTCCTCCACGAGACCCAAGAAACAGTTCCCTCATCTAACAAGATGCCTGCATTTTGTCTGTCCCACAGGAACCAGTGCCAACCCACACGTAACAAGCAAATCATGGCTGAGCAGCACTTCAGGCCCTCTGGGAACTCCTTGTCTAGACTCACTGAAAGCCTCCAGATAGGTGTGACTGCTAAAGGACAGCACTGGCTGAAGATCCACTGCAAATCAACATGACTTGGAGCAGCAAACATCTTCTCTCCTTTAGGTGGGACTGAAGAGATGAGAGAGCAGAGAGGATGTCCCCAGCACAGCAAGGCTGCATTTCTGGGGGGTATGCAGCAGCAGCTACTGTCACACTGCAGCACCTCCCACTTGCTCCATGGTATGTACTCTCTTCCAGCTGTCCAAAACCAGGGAATACTCCTGGGGGAAGGACTTGTGCAGCAGAGTGATGCCACAAGTCCACGGCAGGACCGGGAACTGAGCTCTTATCTGCTGCTTGAGACTCTCTATGCACAAGGACCTTTGCAGGCTTGATGTTGGAATCTGATGTTGGAAAAGCCTCAGCCTAAACCCTCACACACCATCCTCTGCATTACCAAATACTCACATCTTTCTCTGCTTCCTTCAGCTCTGCTTCTTTCTCCTTCACCCGCATGACGAACATCTGCCTCATTTCGTCCTCCTTCTTCTGGAGCTCACCCAGGAACTCGTTCCTCTTTGCTTCGTATGTCTCTTGGAGACTGTTAAAACCACCATAAAAACAAACAGTCAGAGCTGTGTTTCAAGCACAGTCATGAATTTCCAGCCTTTGGTGATCTTGCTGCATTGTGTTGTCACAAAACATCCATCAGCAACGTGACAAGAGGCACCATCACCTCCACCAAAACCAGTCCTGGCTTGCTAGGTGGCAGCAGTGGGAGGCAAATGGGCAAGCCAGCTCACTGGGAATCACTTACCAGGCAGAACAACTGTCCTCAAAAACACACAGCCACTAGGCAAGCATCTACAGCCATCTCTGATGCTCACATGGCTTGTGATCTGTTTACAGAGCCACATCTTCTCGCTTCTCCCACTGTCTGGAATCTCTTCATTTGAAGAGCAAGGTTTGTGGGCCAGAGACAGGTGCAAAAGCTGGCTTTAGGTAGCACATGAAGCAAGACACTAACACAGAGTAAAACTCATTTTCATTACTCATTGCTAGTGGATTCAGGGGCTCTATTTAGGTAAAGCCACCTTGGGAGACCTCTTTCTCCTTTAGCTGGTAAGGGAGGTTAAGCCTTCACTACCAAGCTGCAGCATTCCCCCTCCAAACAACCACATCACTGGATTCCTTCATTCCTTTCTTCCCCCTCTATTTCTTGGCATTCCTTTCTTCCCCCAGTGCTGAGACACTGCAGCAAAGATCTGGGACACAAAATATGTTGTCCATGCACCTCGGAGATTTTCAGAGCCTCATAGGAACTCCAAATGCCAAATTCCTCCTCATTTCAGTCCTTAAATGGATTTGGGTATTTCAGCCATAATGATAGTGTGGGAATGACAAGTATTTCCCCCAAGATCCTTTTTCTAAGATGCATTTTTTAAATGAGAACTCCACTGGTATCACACAGATGGGTTGCATCCGTGTGCCTAAGGAACACATGAACCACTGGGCCAGTGGAACAACTTCATCCCATTAAAGCCAAGCTTTATGCCTTTCCTGGGACAGGGTGGGGGGTTTGGGCAGATTTTTTTTATTACCTGGTTTTGTTGGAGTTCTTTTCTGGGGTGCAGGGTGTTGAGCTGGGGAAGAAAACAACAGATAGACCCTACACTTGGTTTTAACACTGCTAAGTGATGGGCACTTCAGTTGCCTTCTAAAAGATGGGATGCTCAGAGCAGCTCTTGCACATCACTGGCCACCCTGGAGGACTCACACAATTCCAGAGGACCACACCAGCTTCCCAAACGTTGAAGCAAAAATGCTGATTGTAAAAATGACTGCAATCTTTTCATGGGAGAACAGGTATCTTTGAATTCTTAACTACATCAGGAACCAGATCACAGACAGCAGGTAAGAGATCAGAAGACTCAAATCAAAACCTTCCTAAAATACAGTCTTAGATTTAATGCTCTGACTGCAGACAATTAAAATTCAGAAACCCTTCTGAAAGGTCTGGCTAGAATGTAGGAAATCCCTGAAGGCAGATGAGCCCTCACTGCTCAGTGAGCAAAAACTGGATCTGCAATTAGGGACACACTGTCCTAGGAAGCAGCAGAGCCTTGCAGACCAAAACGGGAAACTGCTCCCTGCTCATTGTGGCCTGTGTAGCAAACAATTTATGGCAAAGTTCCATTCCAAAAACACAGTGCCAGGTGATGGGCAAGCAGGACAAGGCTGGTAGGAGTGAGGGTGGCAGGGGCTTGCTGGAAAATTGTCTCAGGTTCAATGCTAATCCCAGCTTCAAGCTTAAAAATAAATCAGCAGCTTAGCCCCAAAGGAAAGGCAGGGAGCTTAATGCTCTGCCACAGAAGAAAAGTTCTCAGAGAAACTGGCCCAGCAGCTCCAGGCTGCATGTGAAAAAAACACTTACAGCCCTAAGGAATAACAGTCCAAACCAACTGGGATCCCTGCAGCTTCTCACAGACCAAGATGACAAGGGAATTTGCTTTTTAAGTATACAAACACATGAACCTAGATTACAAGAGTAACTTGATTCCCCATCACCACCCACACACTGAATGATACCAGTGCAAATCATTTTTCTTGCAAAAATAATGGTGAGAAAATGAATCAGAGCAGTGGAGCAATCAGTCCACAAGAGATGCAGGACAGCAGAAGGGTCTCCATGCAACAGGAGGGCCCCATTTCACAGAGCAGATGCCTATGGGGACACTGCTGCTCCCTCCTCCCCTCCTGCAGCTTGGACAAGCAGTGGGGGGCTCTGCCAGCAAGGTGGGGCTCATGCCCATGGCCTCCCATTCCACGCCTTGTTCAAGCACCTACAAAGCACCAATTCAGGAATTGTCAGCTGCAAAGGACCTCTAGAGATCCCCTTCCTCTCTAGAGGTCCCAGGGCTCTGTCACCTTCACCGTAAAGAAGTTTTTCCTCATATTTTCCTCAATGGCACTTCCCATGTTCCAGGGTCTTTTGCCCTGCTCACCCCCAGATCTACAACATGGTCCCTGGTCCTGGCTGAAGAGGGGTGGTCCCTGTGGCTCTCAGGGCCCAGACCAGGAGGAAAATCATGCTTTTGATCCCTGGTCTCAGAGGAAGAGCAGAAAGAGCCAAACGTCCTGTTTGCCTCATTTCAGATATACATCAGCCTTGGCCAAACAGCTTGGGATCATGGGGCTTGTTTGTTTATTGGAAGGAGGAGGCACCCAGAGAGAACTGCTCTGAACTAGCATGTACCAGATGGAGAAATTATGTACATTTTCATTTCCTTTCTACTTATAGCTTGGTCAAAAGAGGCCTCATGCACAGGAAGCAATGGAAATTCCTCAGATTCCTCAAAGGGTAGGGCTGAGCCCATCTTAAGCCATTACTCTCCAGAAAGGAAATCCAATAAAGCTTCACACTTGAGCACAAGTAACAGAATCAACTGATTCCAGCAGAGTTCCTGAGCTGCAAAATAAATGCAGCTGCACAAACTCAGCAAGTAACAAAACCCTGAACTGATGCAAACTCCACGTTGTGGCACAGACCTTGCTGGGCTCACCATGGAATGCTGTGTTCCAGAAACATGAACACAAGGGCCCCCAACCTGCCTTCTGCTTTGGAGCCCACCTGGCTTTTTCCTGGGGAGGATCAGAGGTGATCCATGCCCATGGTGATCTGCCCCAGTCATCTGCATGGCTGCCATCTCAGGGAGTGGCACACCAGTTCTGGACATGCATGTGTGTTATGGGGGGAAAACCCACAATGATACACATTTAACTCTGCCTGCCTTCCCCCAGGGCACACAGGAGCTTGGGATGTTGCTAAGACAGGGAGTGCAACTACTGGGGGAAAAGTTGGGGAGGAATGGGAAACAGGAAATGAAAGGAAAAAAAAAACAAACACTCCCTCACAAATTCCCACACAGCTGTTGTATCTGGCTAAGGACTTGAGCTTCAGACCAATAAAGCTGTCAGATGGCACAAACTCTGTGGCTGGTAGCAAGCCAAACCTCAAGCATCAAACCGTGGCACCCTCTTCACAGCACACCTTGGGCCTCCCTCCAGGAGGGTCAACAAGAACATTTATCCCAGGATTATCCCTTTAGTAACCAGTTATACCTCAACACGAGTCATCTTTATCCCAGCAGGGATACAGCTGCACTTTTCAAGCCCAGCAATTTCACATGGCCCTGACTTGCAGTCAAGCAGAGCTGGCTGCAAAAGACAGTTGAGTCTGCAGGCGAGGAAAGGGGACAACTAATGTGTCACCCAACCATCTCAAACCCTGTCCTTCTCCAAGGGCAAAAAGTGTCAGGAGGAATTTCTCAAGTGTTTAACAAATCTGCTTTTCAACAGACTCACTCAGGTCTCCACAAAGCTCCCAGCACTGCCAGGAGAAAGGTGAACCTAAGCTGCACCTAAGGCTGGACAGTTCACAGGTTTTAGGAAAGCAAGAGAAAGAGTGGAGAAAACAACACAAAAGCCTCAACTCCCAAACCCCAAAATGAGATTCTCCCACCTTGAAAAAATGGCAGTGGTGCACATTTTCAAACTGAATTGGCTTTCTCAGTCACCTAAACCTTCCCTGTACAAACCCCTTTCCTCCCCAGCCACCCTTTGGATCTCAGCGGCTCTAGGTGACCGTGGCTATTCCCTCCCTGCTTCTTGCAAACATCAACAACCCCACACCCCTCCAATCTCCCTGCCTGCACACAGGCCTGAGTGTCACTCCCCCACCTGAAAGGCTTGCTGTCTGGATCTGTGTCCTTGAACCCCATCTCCTCCAGTTTGCAGCGCCTGTACAGCTCGTAGTGCCGGGTGTGCGTCTGCTCCCTCAGGTCCTCCATGTTCACTCGGATCAGCATCTCCCGCAGCTTCACAAAGTCACAGTGGTTTTCATTTTCAACTGCAAAAGAGACACCATCCACAGGGGGAACATGAAACCCAGAAGCCTGACGCTGCCTGGATTCTGCAGGCTCACAAGCAGAGCTCCAAGTCAGCCTGCACCAAGACGTGCTGCTGAACTGCGGGTAAAACCACGACACACCAGCACGTGGGCAACAGTTCAAGGCCCTTTGCTGGATTTGCAAGATCTGTTGTTGCCCATCTGCCACAGAGCTCCTGTCTCTATACATTTCTGCACCAGCAAGCTGAAGATCCATTTGCACACACACGATTTCCCTTCCCATTCAAATCCACTCTAAACCCAAGTCAACGACAGGTCAACAAAGCCTCAGTTTTGCAGCAGGGGTGAAAGGAAAGATTATGAGCAGACCCCACCAGACCTGTGGTGCCCCTTCTCTGTCAGTTAACCTTCTGAAGGATCCCCAATCCCCTGCTCCCCTTTGGACCTCTCCAGCTGCCCCTGCAAAGGGGCAGGTCAGGGCCACAGCTTCAAAGTCTCTCTGGCACCCAACTCCAATCTCTGTCTGGTCCCAGTTTCCTGGGAACAGCAAGAACCCAGCAGGATGCATGTGAGGCCCAAGCCTTCACAAACATAAGCTGTGGCTTCAGCTGTGTATCCAGTTGGAGGATGGCCCAGCAAGCTGCAGGGGAACATCTGCAGAGCAACTGTGCAGAACTCACCAAGCTTTTCTCAGTAACACACCCTGCTTAGGTTGACACCACAACCTTCCCACCAAACCCCCACATCTAGATTGCAAAGCCCTGATTTTAAGGAGAAGTCTTAGAGCTTTCTCAAGACAGATTTTGACAGGGACCACACGGCTACCAATGCACCCTTCATTAGAATGGGACAGGATGACAAGGTATTTTTTGTGCTTCTGGTAACATACCCTGCACAACACCCCAGGGGTACTGCCTGGCTTTTGCCATCTTATTGCCAATCTTCACTTCTTCAGTGCTGCCAACCACAGCAAAAGGAAGGTGGACCTACAAAAGGAAAGGGACAACAAGGTTAGTGATTTCCTTTGTTGCATTGCCAGGGATTGTTTCTGAAGGAAACTGTTTACTGTGGCAGCTGTGCTAGATTGAAGTGGCTTGAATGCCTTTCCAATTCAGCTGGTGTTTTAGAAAGAGCAGCAGCATGATCTGGATGAGAAATCTGCTGAGATTGAAAGCCCAACATTCTGAAGTCCTAAAAATTTAAGATATGCACATATTTTTCCTGTAATTACAAAGAGTTACTATCTGAAGCACAGAACTCTTAAGAACTGGAATTAAATTTCAGCAGTGAGGAAAAATAACTGTCAAACAAAAAGAAGGAAAAGCAAGTAGATCCACCCAAGGCAGACTGAGAAATAAGGGGTTTCTGCTGCTAGAAAAAAATGCTAATGCTTCCTCTTAAATAGGGCAAAGCTACCAGCAAGGGGAAGAACGGAGCTGACCCAGCCCTGGGCTGGCACCCAGTCTCTCCACGGGTGTGGTGGTGACAATCTGGGACCTGAAGGGCTGGGCACAAGCTCTGGGAGGGAGTGCTGGGTCAGCCAAGCCATGGTCACAGGCTGGGTGGGAGGGGAAGTTGGCAAATGGCAGAGATGTGATTAGCAAAGGAGTTTCCCAGCAGCTGGGCTGCACCAGGGGAAGGCAAACCCCAGGCTGCACACGCTGCATCCTGGCAGAGTCATGTCCCTTCTCCATGCCAGCTTCTCCCTGCTGAGAGTACAATGCAGACAGGGACAAGAGGGAGGCAATACAGAGGCCTGGAGAGGGTCTGATACCCATCTGGTCATGGCAATTACTCCAGGACCTTGTCATGCACATCACTGACAGAAACCCTGAGCTCAGGTTCTTCCCCTTGTGCTCCGAGTCAGGCCCATGGGAAAGAGCTGTTTCCCTCTGTAAGCCCCACTAAAACATTTTGTCTACCCCCAATGCCATCTCTGCAGCAAGGGGGAGGGGGTGAAAGCCAGAGCCCTTGCTGTTGATGGCCACTGCCAGGTTGGGAGCTGGAACATCACTGACGACACCCCCGCTCTCACCGGAAAGCAAAACAAAGGCACCAGTTACTCATCTCCCTCTAAAGCAAGAACTGGTCGTTTGGGACAGGAAACCCAAACCCCAGCCCTTTGCCCTGACCACATCAGGGCCCTGCCTCCCATCCTCTTCCTCTTCTGAGACAGGAATACTGCAACAGGGGAAGGATATGCAAAAATGCTCAGAGAATTGTTTGCTATACAATGAATTATATCAGGCCAAGAGGCCCACACGACAGGTACCTCCAGCTCCAAAAGCCTCTGGCCAGCCTGGTATCTGTCCCTAGACTGAAGTTTTAAAGCCAAAATGTGCCCTAGCATCACAGATGGGTCCACACCAACCAAGGCAAGCAAAGCCCCCCAGACAAACATACACTCATCGTGGCATTTATCTCAGCCACTGTCTCCTCATCCGTGGGGAACTGGTAGATCTGGACGCCGTTGCTGACCAGCTCGCTCATGATCTTGCTCTTGAACTTGTGCAACTCGTTTTTTGCAATGGTGTCAGCCTTGGCAATGATGGGGATGATGTTCACCTGCAAGACAAAGACAAGCAGCTCCACATCCAGGACTGCCCGCGCTGTGTCAGCGGGAGAGGAAGGGGAGCAACCTGCACCCTGCAGACACAGCTCCACAAGGGCCACCAGCCACTGCCCCCAGAGCAGGAGACCTTCCCTTGGGCACCACCACCTCAGACAGGATTTTCAGGCAGTGGTGATGGCCCTAAAAAGAAGTCAACTGCAATTTGGCAACATGTTCTTTCCTGCCCTATTCCCCTCCTCACCCAAACTCACTGGGCAGGAAATGCTCTCATAGATCATCACAAGCAGCTCCAAAAACATAAAAAAGGAAATCACCACCTTCTCTTCTGCTCTGCAGCAGGCTGGATTATTGCAAGAGACACGTGGAAATTAAAGATCAGTTACTGACTCTCTTCCCCAGAGAGGCTGTTTGCAACACTGGCAGGATGGCCAACAGCAACACCATCGAGGAGCAGAGGTGAGAGCAGAGTCCCCTCAGGGCAGCTGGATGGACAGACACCCGGTGGGCATCACACAAGCATCTGCTTTGTTGGGAGAGGGCAAGAATCCATTAGGACAAGGAAACCTGCCCTCTTTCCCTTTCTTCTCCCTGCAAACGGGCAATTCTTGGATCTTGCAGGATTTGCTCTCCCTTGCAACAGCAGACAGAAGTGAGGAAGATGTTGACATGGACCTATATGAAGGGATTTTAACTACAGTGCGTGAAAATCCTCTTATATTAAATCCCCCTTTTGCCAAGAGATAAAACAGCAATGCCAATTTTGGGGTAAAACTTCATAACCCTAATTTAAGTTGAATAGGGCAGGGATCCTTCTCCATCACTGCATAAAACCCAATCGATGGGCCACTCTAGGAAACAAAGAGCCATTGTCATCATTACTGTTCTGCAGAGTCAGGATCCAATGTGCCAAAAGGTGCAAGGTGGACTGATTTAAATTGCTTGATCATGATGTAAAGCAGCACAGAGAAAGCTCAGTTTAAATACTCAGGTTTTAAATTTGTACCTCACTTGTTTTCCCTAGAAGAAGAGAGAGAGAATCTTCTGGCAAGTATCTAGTAGCCTGGTTTCAACCAAGCTTGGTTCCCAGTCTTGCTAGTCACGAGGATAACGGAACAAGCACATGTCAAGTAATATATTTATTCAAATTCTTCTTGTTTATCAGATTATGGTTAGAACAACACTGCATTTGCCATGGGAGATCAAATCACTGTTTGTGCCTAGCTGGATGTAGCCAGAGAATGCAGACACAGCATTTTTTTTGGTTTTTCATTTATTCGTAAGCTGACCTAAAGTGTTTTAGATGTACTTCCCATCTCATCCATGCTTAACCAAATCAGGTTTTGTACAAGAACGTAATTAATCTGTAGGATGAAGTGAAATAGAGATGGCAACCATGTCTTCGAGTGCTAGAGCTGGCAGAGTTCACCTTCAACCTCCTTTTTATTTCTGTATTTAAGACGGGAAACAGTTTTCTCTTTATTTTAACAACTGATTTTTATTTTAACAACTGATCTTTCAGTTGTGAGCAAACCTATCACTGTACCTGGCTTAATTAACACATTGGAAAGCTAAACAACAATAAAAAATTGTGGTCTCCTAATGCATCCTTATAACTTCCTCCTCTCAGAATGCTAACTTTATAGCACAGCTGTGGAGCAAGTGGTCACGTTTCCTCACCTGAGATGAGACTGGAAGAGGGTTGGAGCCCAAACTCTTAGTAAATCCCTGCAGTTGATGAAGCAGTGAATAATGACCTGCTCTAGCAGCCAGCTGAAGTGCTCACATGGCACACCTCTGCAATTCCCTGCTGCTAAACCCAGTGTTTTTCTGAGCAGGTTAAACTAAGCCTGTGGCAAGATAAGTACCTTACTGTCGAGCTTCTTCATGGTGACCAAGTCCAGGGACTTCAGCGAGTGCCCAGTTGGGGCAATGAAATACAGGCAGGCATGGATTCTGGTGTCATGGTAGTTGAACAGGGATCGTTTGATCTTCAGCTCTTCTTGCAAGTAGGCTTCAAACTGGGCATCGATGTATTCTACGATGGGCTTGTAGCTGGAGGGAGGAAACAAGGCACAGGGAAAAGCAGGGAATTCCCTGCTGAGGCAACACAGCTCACAGACAGGAACCTTCCTGAGCTGCTCTGCACCCCCTGCTGCTCTTAGGGCTCCCCCAGACTGAGCAAGTGTGGGTTTCCCCTTGGTGCACAGGGAGAGAGTATTATGGGCTTATTAGCAAGATGAAGTGACAGAGACCCTGGTCTTTAGATGCATGGAAATCACGCTGCTCTGAAAAAGAATCTTGCCCACTGAAGTCTGAGCCTTACTCTGCCAGTGCCACTGGGGATCACCTGATAGAAGAAAATGTAAGGATGAAATCATCACCTACCCTAACTTGTCCAAAAGCTTGTTTGTGATCTTAAGAAGGCAGAGAGATTCACACAGGAACTTTTCAGCCATTGAAGCCTACAAGCAAAGCACCATTTGTCTACTTTTGGGGGGACTATTCTGTTGAAGGAAAAAGGTGCATTTTAACCTGCCCTGACCTGACTGATTGTGCTTTTGGGTAAGGAAACTTGTCAGTTTGTTCCTCCCTCAGACATAGGCATGTTGCAAGGCAAGCAGGAAGGTCTTACACTGAGAGATCAGGTTAGAGAAAGCAGCATAAAAAAAACCAAAACAAAACAGAGCAAAAGAGTGGCAGGACTCAAACCTGAAGCAGAGGAAATCCCACCCACTTCAGCCATATGTCAGGCCACAGCAGAACAAAACCTGCCTCTAAGCCCTGTGACTGCCCCCCTCTCCAAGTGGAAAGTTGGAGGGGCTTCACCACTGGCTCTTCTTGTCTGCCCAGAGCAGCCAGTGCAAAGGGACTGGAACCTGCTGTGAGCACCTGCTCCTTCTCTGAGCAGCTTTTGTTCTTGCCCCAGAGCACATGGCAGCATCTGCCATGCAGAGCTCTCCTGCCAGCCTCCCTCACCCTTTAGGCTCTGCAGCATTAGTCAGGAGCAGCAGCCACAAAGCAGGAGCAACACTTGCATTCTGTTGTCAAGCTCTAGCACCAAGGAAGCCTGACAGGAATACAGCATTGTTCAAGCTTCTTAAAAATCTACAGAGAGTTTTCCTTATGGAACAGGAAGCAGAACCTGCTCCATCTCCATGCTAGCAGGGATCTTGGTGGAAACTGGGATGTTGAGCTTGTGTTTTCAAAAAGCTTGTGCTATCTACCTAGTGCCCTAACAGCTTTTGGTCAGTGCCCACACTGCCAGCCAGCCTGCCCTCACTTGGCAACATGCAGAAGATCACAAACAACCCTCCAAAGGGAGCAGGGATTACTGCAACAAGGCAAAGTGTGGCTCCAAGGTCCAGAAAAGGCATTAGCTGGTGCATTAGCCCAAATCACAGTATGACAAGTTTTAACACTACATCAGAAGGGATGGCATAGGCTGCCCAGAGTATTTACTTCGTGCATGGAACAGGAACATCAGCAGCTGGGTACAAGGCTGAAGTAATTCCCACTTCAAGGGGAAGGCTGCAGGATGGTGGGGACAGCACCTGAGTGCCAGCTGCCTCCAAGGGGCAACAGAACTGCAATTTGAACACATGCATTCAAATATCGATGTGTTTCTGCTCCTAAGCTGCAAGGAGACCAGGAGGGCAGAAACAGTGCTAGCTCTGTATCCTTCCAGCTGATCTGTTTGCTCATCACTTCACTTGCTGGTCACTTCTACCTGTCTCATGGGGCAGGCGATGCTCAGGAAACAGCCCCAGGAGCAGCGAGGGGCCCACTCCCCACAGAGGGACCTCCGAGCGCCTCGGCACCAAGGTTTTCCTTCTTCTGGCAGAGGGAGATTTACCTGTCATCCTTGTTGATTTGGTCCCCAAAGCCCACGGTGTCCACGATGGTCAGCTTCAGGCGCACGTTGCTCTCCTGCAGCTCGTAGCTCCGGGCTTTCAACCGCACGCCGGGCTCGTTGTGCGTGGCGGGGTCGCTCTCAAACTTGGTGTTGAAGAGGGTGTCCATCAAGGTCGACTTGCCAATGCCAGTTTCTCCTGAGCAGACAAAAAGGCAAGGTTAGCACGGTCTCACTGCCTCTCCTCATCTCCCCTGCAGACACGTTTGCCAGGCTGGGGAGTTGCTCCACTTAGGCAGCGACGTCCACGTGGCGAAGCAAACAATCCCTGCAGGAACAGATGCCTTTTTAGATGGTCCTCACCCTTTACCAATCCCCCAGGACCCAACCAGGGACTTCTGCAGAGGTCGGGAGGTGACAACAGCTCTGCTGCTGGGCTCCGACTGATTTCCTCCACAGGTATCTCTGCAGCACACCTGGCAGACACACCCGATCCCAGCGCCACACGCTGGGAATACAAACCCAAAATGAGCCCCTGCCCTGCAAAAGCTGCTGCCCCAACAGACATCAAGATCAACCACACGCCTTCAAGAGCTACAAGTCATCACCTGCAGGTGGAGAGCCAGGCTGCTGGGCTGGGGATGGCAAGAGAGATTTCTGGGCTGGGATTTTAATGCAAGGGTACCACAATTGCAGGCAAGGGCACCACAAGAGGCATCACCAGAGATACCAAGTGCCACTAATCTTGGGGATTTTTCAACATTTTGGGAAGGAAAGTGGCTTCTTTCACACACAGAGTGGCACGCAGGCTTTTCCGGTGACATTACTGGTAACATTTCCAGTGGGAAATGGAGGAACTGGGAGAGGATGTGTTGAGGCTTATGAGACTCCCTGAAAGGAAGCTACTAAACTGTAAGGGAGAAAGAAAATAACAAAAATAAATAAAACCATGACAGTTTTAACACTAGTTACTTGGACATTTGCTGAGTGATCTGCCCTGCTCAGAGGAGGGAAAGGACTCTTTCCATGATGAACCAGCAAATACCTGCTGCTGCTAGAACCCTCTTACTGGACTCACTGCACTGTCACTGCAGGAGAAACAACCATTCCTTTCCCACCAAAGCACTTGCTTCCTGGGGTCTTCAGCTGTTGCCTGTGGTTTCTACAATGGTAGAACCTGGCTGGTGATGCTGGCTCCTCCTGCTTGATGGCACGAGAGCCTCAGTGCTCCCCACACTGCAAGAAGCATCTGTGTTCAGGACAGCAAGAAGCTGTTCTCACTTGACAAATACTTAAATCTCTTTTTAATAGTGTAGGCTAAGTCCTGGTCCTGATATAACAGGAGCCAGCTGTAAATTCTCTCAGCTACCTGCTCTGTGGTACTTGACAGTTCATTTTGCTGGCTGTGACTTCAATCACACCCCGTGCTGGGCTCAAGAAGGTAAGTGGTTACTTACAGCCCAGCAAAAAAAAATCTAGCAGAGATATGCTTGCCCCAGCATTCCCGCCCT